TATTTTATTAATTATTTTATGTTACACATTTTGGTAGCATAAAATATAAAGGTGGACTTAACAGTGAGGGGTAGAAAAAGAGCAAGAAAATATTACTATAACAGATGTTAAAACAGTCACTTAATTTTTGAGTCCTAAAAGCTTTTTCAATAACAAGCTTTTAAATATCAAACTGAATTCTATTTTGTAGTGGTTTGGATTTTGGCTACTTAACATACGATTTCCTACATTTTTCTAAACTGTTTTGACATTTTGCAAAGTTTTTTAAATTTTTGAGGTCCAGACTCAGGCCAGAGCATTCTTGCCTGGTTCTTGAGCCTTTTAAACAAGTTTCATGGGTTCATGAATCAGAACTTTGGTTTACAAAACCATGTTACATTTATTCTTACTGTCCACTAATTCATGTTGCATTTTGTATGTTACTCATTAATTTTGTTCTCTACTATAGTTTCAATAGATTTGTACTGTACAGAAAAGTCAAGCTGGCCAGTCTGTAGTTGTCCAGATGTTTACAAAAATGTCCTTGTAAATAGCAGTATTATTGCTGTCATTTTGTTTTCTTTGGTGTCGGTGTACTTTTCAGTGAGAACTTGAATGTAGTAGCAAGTAGAGTTATTTTATCCTCGGTTTTCTTCAAAGCTTTGTATGTTTGAAGAGTGAATGCTCTTTTGTGGCTTCTCATGTTGGCTTGGTTCTTTAAGTTCTTCAGCCACCCTTGAACCTGTTTGTGTCACTGTTCTACTTTGAGAACTCCTTTTGCATACCAGTATAACACTTGGTGAAGTGTGGCCATTGTTTTCTTTGGGTACTCCTTTCCACCGGGATCTTTTACTGACCCTAGAGGTTCTCTGTCTTCCTCCTTTTGTTGCCTTTGAGGAATTAGATGTGTTAATCATAGATGCTTTTTGCAAATTGTCTCTCAAACTTCTCTCTCTCCTGCTCTGCTTTAATACGTTTTCGTGTTTGATTAGCTAAAGTTTTAATTCCCTGCCCCCCGCTGTGTTGTTTTATTTTGTTTAGCTGTTGCAACTTGATTAATTGTTGTCTAAGAGTGGAGTACATTAGAGAAGTCTATCTGAACTTTTTTATGCAGTTGATTCAAATAAACACCTTGCATCCTGTGTGCAATTTTGGGTGCCACAATATAAGAAGGACCTCAAACTGTTAGTGTGTCCAAAAAGGGCCCTGAAGAGGGTGAAGGCCTTAGAGGGGAAGCCATATGAGAAGCAGCTGAGGTCACTTAACTGTTTCAGCCTGGAGAAGAGGAGACTGAGGTGAGACCTCATAGTAGTCTACAGGTTCTTTACAAGAGGAAGAGGAGGGGCAGGCATGGATTTCATCTCTCTGGTGGCCAGTGACAGGACATGAGGGAATGGCATGAAGCTGTGTAAGGGGAGATTTAGGTTAGATATTGGGATTGGCTATCAGGTCTTCACTCAGAGGGTGGTTGGGCACTGGAACAAGCTCCCCAGGAAAGTGGTCACAGCACCAAGCCTGGCAGAGTTCAAGAAGCATTTGGACAATGTTCTCAGGCACTTGTTTGTGCCTGTTTTGGGATTGTTCTGTGCAGGGCCAGGAGCTGAACTCGATCCCTTTATATAAATTACTTTCATGCTTAGATTCTTTGCAGTAGGATAAAGGTAGAATCATGGTTGTGGTCTGTGTTATCATTTAATGTTAGCATGTTCTTCTTGGAAACCTAAAGCATGCTGTTTCTTCTTACAGTCTCTATCAAAGTAGCTTGGCCATCCAGCTGTTCTTGTGACCATATGTAAATTCTATACTTGGAATTATATATTATTTGAAGGTGACTGATACAGTATCTTCCCAGTATCACCTTTTGCATGACCATGGCATAATATATCATCATTTTCTAGACAATAAAAGGCTTTACAGGAAAGTATGTGAACCAGAATGCTTTAATTGTTTACATGGTATATAAGGTTGAAAGACTATCCTAATTGACTTGTGCTTTTAAGAGAGCCTTAAACTCTGGAATTACTTGAGTAACATATTTCTTGTGCATTGAAGCAAGATGTGCAAACAGTAAAGAGGATAAAAAGAAAAGGAAATAATGGGTTTTGGCATCCTTATTTGTGATTAACAATAAGTTCCATTGTCCTAAAGGCTTGTGTATCTGGACAGTGAATTCATGCTGCTGCTCCTGGCGTTTTCAAGATGAATCTCTTGATTCTTCAGAAGAGGGACTACTCACTAGTTGACTCAATGCTTTCTTTTGAGCTGAAGTAGTGGTTCCCATGAACTGACTATGTTTAAAGAATGAAGATTTTAAAAAAGATGTGGAATGAAGCCCATTCTGTTCTTCAGGCTCAGTTTTATTTAATCAGCATTCTGTTTTTCAATGTGTTTTTCACTGTTCAAATCTCTTGATTCTTCAGAAGAGGGACTACTCACTAGTTGACTCAATGCTTTCTTTTGAGCTGAAGTAGTGGTTCCCATGAACTGACTATGTTTAAAGAATGAAGATTTTAAAAAAGATGTGGAATGAAGCCCATTCTGTTCTTCAGGCTCAGTTTTATTTAATCAGCATTCTGTTTTTCAATGTGTTTTTCACTGTTCACAGATTGTGGCCTTGGCTGTTTCTATTCTGTCACTAACTTTTATATATATGTATAGATAAATGTGTATTTACCGTTTTTTTTATGTGTTAAGAATTGTGCTCTGTTTGCTAAAGTTCATTTACTAATGGAGCTTGCCATTTGCATAGAATAATAAAATTCAATGGTGTGAGAAAATATTTCATTTTTTTGGAAGTTTGTGACCTACTGTTTTGTATTTATAGCTAATCTGACTGGAATTTAAGTATCTTAATTACAAAATTACAGTGGTTTGACAATTAGAAATTGTTTTATGTCTAATTATTATTTTGTTGTATCTTTTTGATTGTGATGCATATTAAAATCTAAGAAATAAAGTAGTTTATTATTTGTCTTATTACAGGTAGCTTGCATGCAACTCATCAATGCTCTCGTTACATCTCCTGATGACTTGGACTTTAGGCTTCACATCAGAAACGAATTTATGCGCAGTGGATTGAAAGATATATTGCCAGTAAGAGTCTTGTAGTCTCTCTTTGCATTACTGTTTAAGTTTTTTAACTATTTGAGCTTGAGAGTAGGAATGGGTGAACAAGTTTAATAAATTATTCTCAGAGGCATTATATTAAGTTTGGGCATGAGCAGTTAGATATCAGAACCAGTCTTAAAATAAAAATGAAATGGTGAAAAGTGCTCTCTGAACTTTATTCTGATTCCTGAGCATTTTAGGACTTTGTTTTAAAACATGTGACAGACTGTTATGCAGACACTTATTAAGCCAGGCTGAAGTCATGTTTATATTTTGAATATTTGACTTAACTAATGTGTTCTTGTAATTTTAAACTTTAAAATACCATAGACTTATGGAAGTTATTAAAAATATAAGATTTATTTACATATGGAAATGCTAATTTTGCAAGCCTTTCTATTGTTTCTTCTGTGCAGCAACTGAAATGTATAAAGAATGAAGCACTAGATATTCAGCTGAAAGTGTTCATTGAGCATAAGGAAGAAGACATGATTGAATTCTCTCATCGTTTAGAAGACATTAGATCTGAACTAGAATATCCTTTTGAAAGTCAATGTCATCTTGACTTGTACCAGCAATAGTGTCCCTCTGTACTCAGTCCACATTTCAAATCCCATGTTCAGTTTGGGGCCATCATTACAAGAAAGACATGGAGGTGCTGGAGTGTCCAGAGAAGGGCAGCAGAGTGGTAGCAGAGTGGTGAAGGGTCTGAAGCATAAGTGTTATGATGAGTGGCTCAGGAAGATGGGCTTGTTTAGTCCGTGGAAAAGGAGGCTCCAGGGAGACCTTATCACTCTCTAGGACTACCTGAAAGCAGCTTGTAATGAGGTGGGGATCAGCCTCTTTTCCCTAGTAATAAACAATTGGATGAGAGGAAATGGCCTCAAATTGCACCAGGAAAGGTTTAGATTGGGTATTAGAAACAACTTCTTAGAGAAATTGTTGTCAAGCACTGGAACAGGCTGCCTAGGGAAGGGATGGAGTCCCTATCCCTGGAGGTCTTTAAAAGACATGTAGATGTGGCACTTAGTGACATGGCTTAATGGTGGACTTGGCAGTACTTAGCTAAGAGTTGGACATGGTGATCTTGGAGGTCAATATTTGACTGAAATATTTTTCTTTGTTATTATTCTCCTTAACACTTTCACTGAAGTAAATGATGTCTACAACATGGTGTGGAATACAGTTAAGGACACTAGTGCTGAAGGATATTTTCTTTCTATTCTCCAACATCTTTTACTGATAAGAAATGATTATTTTATCCGGTATGTTTAATGCTGTGTTAAATGTTAATTATGGACTTTGTTATCATTCAATTGAATATTTCTTCTATAAATTTAATAAATAGATAGAGTTTAGGCATTCTGTGTGGATTGTAATTTGTAAGTATTCCTTTGTGGACTCACGTTTCAATGTATCAGCATTGAATCAAAAATGCCATCTGTATTTTTTGTCTGTTTTGCGTAGTATACAATTTTATATATAAATACAGAAAAGTATTTTTGTTGAGATCTAAGCCTTATTGACTGCAAGTCTAAGTGATCAGGAGAGATCTCAATCTGTTATACATTGTAATAGTAGCATTGTTATTTTGTGGTGTGTGTGAGCCAAAGAAAAAACCAAGTATGCATATAGAAGTGAACTTTATACAGAAATTTGAACGTGTGCTTAGTTTACAGTTACTTTTGGGTTAGAATTGAGTATTTTCAATATACATTATAGGTCAGTGGGACCATGTTTGTCTTTCCTGGAAAAATGATCAGATAAATTTCAGGGAAACAGTTGATAAAATCTTCAGTCTTTGAAGCTGCCAAATAATTGATTTCCTAAAATCTTGTGTTGTTTTTGAGGAAACACTAGAGGAACCAGGTATGAACTGAAAAGGGAAGGAAAGCCATCTCTTTTCTGCACAATATTCTGCATAACCTTGCATTTCAGGCAAGGTCTAGCACAGATGTACATATAAAGGTTAAGAGTGCTTGCCTGCTATGGGTACATCTGTGCTAGACTTCTTCCACCTGAAAGGGTTTGAATTCACAGCTTGCACGTTCTGGGCAAGTGACCCAACTGTCATAGCCCATGGCATTTTAGAGCAAGGTGTTTTTCATTCTTTGTGCTGAGGCAGGACTGCAATGCATTTGTAGCTACAAAAGTCTCAAAACCAGATGGAATCAAGCTGAAGGAAGAGCCTTTACTGAGATGAAGCAGGAGTTAGTCTTTCCCCCCGTATTTCCATAAGAGAAGAGATGCAGAGTTTACGATATAAGAATCATTTTCCTGTGAATCCACTGTTTTTTCAGGTTTTGTGTCAACTTCTTGTGTAATAAACTGCCGCTTGTATTTGTCCTTTGAGACTTTTGGGGTTTGCACCTTCCCTCCTATGGAAATAGATCAGCCCAAATATTTTGACCTTTCTGTGTTCATAGACAAGATTCTAAGTATAGGTTGATAAATAAATATGCTGTAAAAGAACTCATCTCTGTCTTTAGTCCACAGTATTTCAAATTAATTGAAGAGTGTGTGTCGCAGATAGTGTTACATCGAAATGGAACAGACCCAGATTTCACGTATCGTAAAAGGTTAGATGTCAATTTCAGCCACTTACTAGGTAAGTGCTATGTTTGGAAATGGTTACAGTATCATATCTCTTTATGTGTTCCAAAAACCAAGTTAAAGTTGTATGTGTGATTAAGAATCTTGTGTTCCATTTCTATGTGTAAATGTGTTTGTTCAATTTTTCAAGATATTTGTGTAGATAAAGCAAGATTAGAAGAATGTGAAGAGAGAGCTTCTGAACTTACCAAAAAAGTAAGTAATTTTTACATTATGTGATAATAATATGGACACAGGGGATTACTTAATAGCTTCATGAATGGTGTAACTGAATGTGGCATAGTTTTTAACTTCAAATTACTATTACTTCTGTGTTAAAGTGGGAATTTGGATGTTTCTTGTGGACTAGGAAGCAAAGTGGTGTAAAATAGTTAACCTTAATTATGAGTCTTGCTGCTATTTATTTTTTCATGTAGAACTCTCCCAAAAATCAACCAAATACTTTATTTGAGCACTTATCCATTTCTCTAACAAGATAAGCAGTGGGAGAATAAAAATGGACTCGTTTGTAGCTACAGACATTGTACTGCTACTCATGATGATTTTTGATTTGCTCTGTGTAATACCAACTTGAAATGCATTAATACTTTGTGCCATTTCTTATGGTAAAGACCTGCAGTGGTGATAGAGCTAGTCCTTCCGCTCAGGAGACTTACAGAAGTTAGGAAAACAGATATGTTGTGTGTGTCCTTAGAATTAGTGACATGTGAGTTTTAATAAGCATAAAAGGAAAAGTTGGAGTCTAAAGAAACTGTGTGGGACTGACTAGTACCAACGATTTTCTTTTTTTTCCTCTTAGTTTGAAAAAGATTTTGTAGCTCATCAGGAGACACAGGCCCTACTGCAAAAGAAAGAAGAAAGAATCAATGAGCTTGAGAGAGAATTACAAGCTTTTAAATCACAGGTATAAGACAGTTTAAATGAATGTATGTAGTATCATCTCTGAAAGGGTCTTCACTTAGCATCTTCTTCAGATTCTGGTAATACAGTTGAGGTTTTTTTCAAAGAATCTTTGTTATCGATTATTATTTGGATGTTAGTTTCCTTTAGTTCTGTTCTATACAAATGATTGTAGTGTGACATTAATTAGCTGTGTGAGTTCCCAGGTGATCCTTTTATGCCTGAGCTCTGTTAATTAAACTAGTTTCTTATGTTTCATTTGGGTTTTGCTTTCAGTGTCATATATTTCCAAAGTAATTAACCACATAGGGTAATAAGTCTTACACTCTTAGATTAGCATTCATCATTGTGATCTTTATCCCTCCACAGGAAATAACTCATTATTCAGTTTGCTTTACTGAATCCTTACCATGGATATCCGGCAATGAAAGAAACAACCTGTGGCTGGATAAGAAAATTCACTGATAATTTTTCAATTTTAAAGCATAAATAGATATTTTAGATTGTGATACAGGGCAAAAGTGTAGATTTTTGAGAGTAATATATGAGTTAACTTGTAACTGCTTCAGTGCTAAAATCCATGTAAGGAGGCTGTGTAACCAAGTGATTTTTCCTGTGTCTGATTTTCTGGAATAAGAAGCACAATCTAAAAATGGCTAAAGAATGACAGCATTGGGGAGACATGCATATAGGTTATTTTTAAACCCTTTTTTAAATGCATTTGAGGGATCTTTTTGTACTTTTTAAGCTTCTTTAATTTTCTTAGTGAGGAAAATTAATTTAACTCTGCTCTGGTCTGTTTAAAAATGTCATTCTAATTCAGGTTTCTGGTTAAAATGAATTGTGAATGTCAAATTCAAACATTTTAAAAAAGGATTTACAAAAATTATAGTATTCTAAAAAGCCAATTATAGTAAGAGTTGTATACTGTTCATTAAGAAAGTATTTTTCTGTGAGTATCATGAAAACATACTTAAATACTATTTGTAAGTGAAATAGGAGAGAAAACCTATTTTACTTTTTCTGTTGTTCACTGTATTAAATAGAACTTTTTTTTACATGTGGACAGCGAGTATGACCTGTGATTATGCTTACTAATTGTCATACCAGTAATTATCCCACTGTTAATGGGATACCTGAAAAGTTTTGTGATTGATTACTACAACTTAGTACTCTTAAATCTGTATATAGAGGAAACTTTGGTTTCCATATGGCATTAGTTGCTACCTAGCATGTTGACTCTAATGCCTACTTTTTTCCTGTCTCTTTCCTTTATTCTCTTGTTGTGTTTGTTATGTGTTCATGTATTTCTTTCATTACTAGATGCTAATTGTTCAGTGTCAGTGTAGACAATGGTTGTGTTCAGAAATTCAAAACAATAATGCTGTTGTGCATGCATTTATTTGTATTTATTGGTATTCTCAGCTATTTCCATTTAGAAATATTAAATCCTTCGCTTATTGTATTTCCTTTCATTTTTGTTTTCTTTTTTTAAATAATAGGAACCATTTCAAGTTAGTAGTTAAAAAAGTGATTAGTGCTATCATCAGTAGATAAATATTTATTCTCTTGTTTTTGTCAGGTACTGTTTATTTATGTTTGAAGGCCTATTATAGAAGTTCTTTAAATGGTAGAAATAAATCATTTTTTAGACTCACTGAATTGCTAATAAACCTATCTTGATACAGTATAGATGTTCTTACCTCAGCTGGTGTGTAAGGCAGCTTTGTTTTGGAAGGATTTTTTTTCATCATTGCTTTGTGTTTTCAGTTATGTGGCATGAGAATGCTCCTATATTGGAAGATAACTGTTTTTCAACAGAATTACTTATCTCTTCAGATTCTGTTATTATACCCTTGAAATGTTTTTGTCTAATCTATAGGACAAGTATAAACAGTAGAAGCTGAGATGTTGTTTTCTTTTTGTTTAATTTGAGTTGAAGCATGGCCGTCTAGATAAAATTTTATCGATGCCTATCAAACCCTTCTTAGATCATGACTGGTGAAGTGTGGGAAGTGGAACACACCATTTCAATTTGTCATTTTTGGTGTGCACCCCTAGGTCTGAATGTCTGGTTCAAATACTGAGATATCCAATTATGATATCAGAAGCTTGTTGGCCTCATTATAAGTCATATTTGATTGTTCGATACAAGAAAAATGGCACTGACTTTCTACTGGCTTTATGGATTTGATCTATAAACTGTGATTGTTATAGCATTTTGTTGATAAAAATATGAAACTGAGTAAGAATATTTTCCTTATCAGTATGGCTCTTTGCCACCTGGTTTTCTACCATCAACATGTGGAGATGCATCTGTCATTCCACTGGAAGGTGCAGCACCACATCAACTTCCGCCACCTCCTCCTCCGCCGCTGCCTTCTAACGGAGTAATTCCACCACCACCGCCTCCCCCTCCTCCTCCTCCTCCACTTCTTAGTGGCATTGGAGTTCTGGCTTTTGGTGGTGCACCTCCAGCACCGCCTCTACCAGGCCTGCCTGGAATGCAGTGGTCTCCGCCTGCGTGTGCTTTGCCGTTTGGAATGAAGCCTAAAAAAGAATTCAGACCTGAGGTTACGATGAAAAGACTCAACTGGTCCAAGGTAGTACTGATTAATGGCAAATACTCAATGTGAAATCTTACATGCTTAGGCTAAATAGATTGTCAGGAGTAAGGCTAGATGAGCAATAGATAGAATAGGTAAAATTATCGATGACATGAATACTTTCTGCTTTTAGTTTTTCATTGTTTTCTGAAAACTCTTTTATTGATTCATGAATCATCTGAGCAAGTACCTATTGACTTTCTGAGATGCTTGGAAAAGTCAGTTCTGGTCTAGAATAATATAACCTTGATACCAGCATGCTTCCTGGGTTCTACTATGCCTTGTTTTTTAGCAAACTCTACATTGGATCAGTCACTGCACTGTACTGGTATCTATACAGTTTCCAAACAGTGTCTTGCATCTATCTAGCCTGGAGTGTGGAAAGAAGAATTGCAGGCTTCTTCATTTGTCCTTAGTCTAAATGTACTTAGGTAAATTTAATGGTTGAAAAAATACAGTGTCAGTTTATTTTTTTTTCTCCATTGTGACAGGATCAAGTATGCCAGGACTATCAGTTTACTGAGTTTGGAAACTGTAATTATTTAAACCAAAATAATTCAGTAAAAAGATTTCCAGAGTTTTACAAATAATCAAAGCTACATTCTAAAAACTAAGGTACTTAGTATTTAGTTAAACCAACTGTGTTCTGAGACTATTAAAGTTTGCCTAAGTTTTAAATATAGACCAAAGGTAATTTGCTACATTTACACCTTGGATAACAGAGTTACTTACTGTAAGTGATATTATTTTCAATGAGAAATACATTAAGAACTCTAAAGATGTGTGAATATACCAAAAGGTCATGTGTTTTACAGAGCTCTTAAAATTTAATTTGCTTTAGACTCTACAGAGCACAGTTCCTACATAGTATCAAAATAATTAACAAAATTTTGGTTTGTGCCTTCCTTGTAGATCAGGCCTCAGGAAATGACAGAATCCTGTTTTTGGGTTAAGGCAGAAGAGGACAAGTATGAGAATGCCGACATGCTTTGCAAATTGGAACTTACATTTTGTTGTCAAAAAAGAGGTAAATAGTTGATTGCTTTAAGTTTCAGCTTTTGGAGATCTCTTTAAAATTCTTGGGTCTTTCAAGAAATGTATGAAAAAGCCTTCAGAATTTAGCATTAATGTTTTTTTATTTTGAGTGGAATGTGTGAAGAAAAAAAGTTTGAAAATCCTAGACTGCTTAAAGCAGTAATTTTTAATTGTTTTGCTTAAACGGTTACAAAAATTGTGTGACCTGTAGGAAAACCTCACAAAAATCCCCAAGAAATGCTTCTGGATAATACAGACTTTTGTTTAGTCACATTTGAAAAAATTATTTATGAAATTTTGCCAGAATGCCTTCATAAAGTAGTGCATTCTAATCTAGAGCCCAGAGGATGGTGTGTTTGCCCTCAGAATGTATATGATAATTGAAGTGTTTTGGTTCTATGAAGGAGGAGAGTCTTTGAGTGAATTTTTTTTTTTTACTTTCTGATAAATCTGTACCAACATAAAACACCTTTGGTATTTGCTTAGTTTATTCAGCTTTTAAAGCATTGTGCAGGAACAAAATATTTCAGAGTATTCCTGGCTTTAAACCTTTTTCTCCCTTCCTGGGAGTAAGTTGTGTCACTAGTAGTTTAGGTTATTCTGCCCCATATATAAAATGCCTATATTTCCACTGTTGTTTCTTGACATTTTTTTTTTTTCCCTTCATTCTATTTTGGTATCAGAGACTTAGTACTTGGGGGCAGCCAAGGGGGTGTAGTGATTAATTTCTTTGCAAATTGTAAAGGTGTTACTTTAGTTTGTTTAGTTTGTTTTAAAAATTTTACTTTGCTATTTGCACTGATATAGTGCATGGCATTATCAAATTTCTCCTTTTTGGGTATGCTTTGGTGTGTATTCAATATTTTTTTTTACTACAACCAAGAACTTCATTCTGCTCTTGTCAAAGTGGGCATTTTATGCTCTAGTGGTGTTTCTACTGAGTTAAGTATTATAGTTTATTACTGTTGATACTTAATAATAAGAATGTTCCACAAAGATAAAAAGGCAAGAAAACCTCAAAGACCATAGACATGTTTCCTTGAATCTATTAAAATAAGTCTGGAAGCTAATTATGGTGCCTTTATAATGTTAGGAGAATTCCCAAGGATGTTCCCTGAATTAATAGGTTGGAAGGTTTAAAAGCCACTGGAGGAAATAGTTTCCTATGTGTAATTAAACAGTAGAATTTGGGAGACAAGATGATGTTCAGGCCAAACATGTTAATGTCTCAGAAGAGGATTGTTAATCTCCACAGACAGCAAGAACATTAGAGTTAACAAGATTTACATACCTCAAAGTTTAACTGATTGAACTTGAACACATTGTTTTGAGAAAACCTAATGGAAGAGAGTTGCTGGATCTACAGTTGAAAAGTCAGTGAAGTATACTTTTATACAAAATGTGTGTGTGGGGTGAATAAAAGGCTATAACCTGCAGCGACAAATTAAGCTTACTGCTTAATCTTTTTTATTTTTAAGTTTTGAAATCTCTCTCATCTCACATGAGAGTGTGCCATCATCTAAATTTTTCAAAGGAAGTAGAGGCACTAAAGATTTTATTTAGAACATCAAGTAGGTGTCTAAGGGCAACATGGAACTACATTTCATCTTTGTTCCAGTGACTGGTTTGCAGAAGTTTACATGAATGGTTAAACACATAAATGGACAGGACCAGGAGTGTCTGTGTCTCTTCCTGACAGCACAATTTCTAGTCCAGAGGACAGCAAAGTAACTGGTTTTTTTTCTCAGGACCATGGTGAGAGAGGGGATGCTTCTTTGTAGCTTATCCATAACCTACTGATTATAACAAAACTTACCAAAGAAATTGGAGACATCCGGTTTTCTTCACAGTCTTGAAGAGATTTAACACTAGGCTTTCTCAAGTAGAATCAGCAGCCTATTCATGAGTCTCAAGGACGTACAAACATTTCTGAAGCTTTGTCTCTAAAACCAGAAAGATGAGAAATTGAAAGTGCTTCTATAGTTGAATGATGGCATGCAAAGAACGAGCTGGTTTCCACTCTGCTGAAGGGTCTGCTTATGCACTCTTTTCATTGGAATCTTTGTGTAAGAAGAGGTATCTAGTTGTGGAAGTAGGGACCAGAATGTTCAATGATGCTTTAAGTGAATTTTATTCTCATTAAGTAAAATCAGATTGAAGTACACGAATGTTCAGTTGGTGCATTTTGCCAGCTAATGTGCCAAAAGTATTTCAGTGTTGATCTAGAAAAGGAAGTCTTATGTCTATGTAAATAATCCATTGAGGAATATCTACTTGAAAAAGGAATGCAGAACAGTACAGAACAGATTTGATGCTTTAGCAGATGTTTGTATAGAAGCTATAAATTATGTTGATTCTGAATGGACATTGAAGCAACAGAAAAACTGAAGATGTTATGGAGATATGAATGAAATAATACTGCAAGAATAAAAAAGTAAAAGAGGCCCATAGGAAACTTCTGTGGAGCATGTTTGGAGATATGTCAGAGACATGAGTCATGGAATTATTTAGTCTGGAAGGACTCTCTGAAATACATGTGGTCCAACAACGTCTTGTAAACGGACCAGTCTAATTCATGTTGTTTGGGACTTTGTCCATCTGAGTTTAAGATACCCATAAAGATGGGGATGTATGGATGGACAACCTGTTCCTGTGTTTGCCACTGTGAATTTTTTTTTCCCCATAACATCTTCTTAGAATATCTTTTGTTGCAACTTGTGCCTGTTTCCTCTTGCTTGTTGTGCACCTCATAGAATTCTGGTTCACTCTTATTTGTAGCTGTCTGTCACGTAGTTTGAGACAACAGTAAGGGTTGCTTTGCCCTTTATTATCCTTCTCAAGACTGACAAATCTCTCAGCTTTTCTGTATGCACCTTATGCTTCAGCCCCCTAGTCATCTTGATTGATTGCCGCTGTATTCATTTCAATATATCTACATTTTTCTTGAAGTGGAGAATCCCAAACTGATAAAGTCCTCCAGATATTTTTCCCTGAGAGTGGGGAAGTATGTCCCTGAGAAGGGGAGTAGAGGGAAATAATCCTTTTTACCTGCTGCTGGCAACAGTCTTAGTACCTTACTGGGGGAGATGTTCACACTCTGCTGCTTGATGATGGTGATGTTAAGTCCACGTAAGGGCTATGGGTGGTATAGAGTATTTTTGCTTCCTTCTTTTGCTTTTTATAAAGCTGGTTTTGTCACTTCCCAGAAGTCGAACCATTTTGTGAAAGCAATGCGAGTGAAAAGTGTGCGTGCTTTTAAAATACGGGGAAGAAAACATTGGAGTTCATTGTGAGATACCCAAAAACCCAAGCAAACAAAAGATTCTGGAACTCTGAAATTATTAGCTTTGTGCCAGCAGCTAAAAGAGTAAGAGGAAGGAGTGAAATCACTGCCTTAAGGCATCTGTGTGGAGTAAGGCCATTGTCAAGATTTGCTTAAACTTTGTATTGTAATTCAGAAAAATTGCCACCATCTAAAGCTATGGGGTACAAAAAACCACCTGTGACATGACAGCAAAGTTCAAGTCAGTATTGTTAGAGAAAAGTTAGCATTAAAAATGTGGAAGAATGGAAATGATAGGAAAACTCATTAAATGTACCTAGATAAATATAAACAGGACATTGACATGTTTCGATTCATGAATTTTTTGCAAAGAATCTTTCAGCTAATATTGAAATATCTATTTAGATTTTTGAAAATGAAGTTAGCTAAGGAATTGGTGGGACTACTTAAAGACAACTTCAGACGTTCAG